CGTACAGCACGGGGTCTTGCAACTGGGGGGAGGGAAGGGGGAGAGGACGGACGAGAGGGGGAAAGCGGAAAGAGAGGAAATGGGGGCGGAGAGAAGGGGGTGGTGGGAGAAGAGGGAAAAAGGGGTCCTCTGGCTTGTACAGCACGGGGTCTTGCAACTGGCGGACGCGGGGGGAGGGGGGAGGCGGAGGGAGAACGGGGGGAGAGGGGAGGAGAGGGGGAACCGGGAGAGAGGGGGATGACGTGGGATGGGGGAAGGGGGAGGAGAGGAGGGGGTGGTGGGATAAGAGGGTAAAAAGGGAAAATTTGGAAGGGACCCACGCGGGATTGAGGACGGAGCGGGGGAGGGGGAGGCAGAAGCAGCAGTACGAGAGAGGCGGGCCGCTGGAGCGGCAAGCCGCGGGAGTGGCGGGATTGCAGGCGTACCTGGCACGGGACGCCGTCGCGCGAGAGTTCGTCCACCAGCGCGCCCGCCAGTCGCCGCGCCGTGCCCGTCTGGCTGCAGTACACCACCAGCACGCCGCGCTCGCCCTCGCCGCCGCCGCCGCCGCCGCCGCTCTTCGCCGGCGACACTTCGTCAACACTTGGTGCGTCGATCGCGGTTTCCTCCCCAAGATCAGCGGCCGCACATCCGCCTTCCCTCGCATCCGTCGCTTCCGTGATCCCCGCTGCGTCGCCCGCGATCAGCGGGGCTGCCGTCTCGCCAGCGTCGGCCTTCCGCTGCTCGCGGCGCTGCCGCCGCTGGCGGTAGTAGTAGGCGAGAGCCGCGGCCGCGAGCAACCCAGCCGCCGCCGCGCAGATGCTTATGGAGACAACCTGACGCGACACGAGCGAACCTTGTGTCTCGGTCATGGTTGTGACTACAACGAGACGTGTTCTACAAGGCAGTTCTCCAGAAAATAGATCTGTCGCCGCGACAAAACAAACTCTTGACCACTGACGAAGGTCATGCAGTTGAAATCCGATCTGCTGAACGCTGGTGTGCTGCTGTGCCAAGAGCTGCCTGCAAAGGGCTTAGGGGTTGATGGTGGGCTTTGAATCTGAGATCAACTTTACGCGATTCTCGATATCGATGACAAACGAAGAGATGGCCTCTAAATTCATTATCTCAAAACAAGATGCAAACTACTAAATGAAAAAAACAGGCCAATCAGAGGCAATCTGGAATATATACAAGTTTTTTTATGTAACCTTAGCTACTTTTCTATTCTCCACTTGATCAGTAATGGGACATCGCATCTCTTGCCAACTTACGGGCAGCATGGGTACACCTGTGAAAAACAGTCCAGCATGGTTACGAAAATGCAGTGCTTCCCGTCAGACCGGGAAATTCACAAACACAGGAAAAGAAAGGCAGGTGCAAGCGGGGGAAACACTGAATTTGGAAACGGCGGAATAGCACAGCTGGGTTGAGGAGTGGAACACTGACCTGCGACCCCTTTGGCCAGAATGACCCCCAAGTCATTCTTGGCTGTGGAGAGGAAGTAGGCTCTGGAATCCCCCAATGAGAGCTGCCACGGCACGTGCCATGAGAGGACGGGCGATGAAGGCGGGTTAGAGCACCGGAAGAGATGGCGAGGACGAGGACTAAAGAGAACGGCAGGGTGAGTGTACGCGGGGTGAGAATGGCATGGTTGAGTGTACCACTTGGGCTCGAATGAGGTCGCCGGGGCGAAAGGAGGCGAGCAGATCCACCTTGTCTATCTCCGTGGCCCTCACATCCTGCTGCCTGCCACCCGCACCACACGCACCACCCACGCCACCCACCATGTGCACACTCCACGAGACACATGTAAAAACCAGGCTTGAGAGAAAGAAAGCGGCTGATTAATCAATGAGAGAGCGCTCACCTGGGCAAGAGAGCAAAGCGCGCACCTGACGATGCCTGAGAACTTGTCGGTGACGGCATGTGCGCCCACACACACTATGTCCGCCATGGCTGCTCGTGGCGTCACCCTCGCCACCTGCTCGCCGCCATGCCGGGCACGGGGAGGGAATGGGGCAAGTGCAACAGGAGCGGGATGGGAGGGGAGGGGGAAAGGGAGGGAGGGGAGGAGAGGAAGGGGGAAAGGCGCGTGGAGATGTGTGTGTGTGTGAGAGAGAGAGAGAGAGAGAGAGAGAGAGAGAGAGAGAGAGAGAGAGAGAGAGAGAGAGAGAGAGAGAGAGAGAGAGAGAGAGAGAGAGATAGAGAGAGAGAGAGAGAGAGAGAGAGAGGATGAGTGAGGGGTGGCAAGGAGAGGGAAGTGAAGGTTGAAGTAAGATGGACACTAACAGAAAAGGGTTCCATGTGAGGTGTTCAGTGCGTGTGGCGACCACGTGCCCAATACTGCAACCGCCCTCCACACGCACTACACCCCTCCCATCCCATCTCTTCTCCTTGCCATCGCCTCATGTGCCACTAGCAATGCCCATCCCTTCCCCCCTTCCTCTCTGAACCTCCCCCCTCCCCCGCCCACCTTCGCGATGACTGTTGCGCCAACGCTGGGAATGGCGGCTTGCGCCCCCGCGCGCCGCACCGACACTGTCGGCAGCTGGGGGAGGGGGTAGAGACGAGGGGCGGGGGGGTGGGGGGGGTTGAGGGGCGGGGGAGGGAGTATGGGGCAGCGTGGGTGGGGAAAAGAGTATAACGAGATAAGGGGAACCCGGCTGGGGATGCGGGCAAACGGAGGAGGCGGAAAGCGGGCATCGGGGAAGAAGGCAGATAAGGCAAGGCAGATAAGGCGAGGCGGCGCGGAGACTCACGGGGTCGCCGGGCGCGACGGTCATGGCGCCCGTGGTGCTGGCGTAAACGAACGGCCCGCGCACGTACGTGCCGGGCCCCGCCGCGAGCTCCGCCGCGAGGCCCAGGCGATCGCCCGGCACCTTGACGTCCGGCGCTGGCGCCATGGCGCGCGCGGTGGAAAAGGTCGAGGACGCAGCGAGGGTGAGTCGCGCACTGGGCGACTCTACGCTGCGAGCGATCGATCGCAGCGTAGGAGGCGAGCGATCTGAAAACGCGTTTTACGCGATCGCGGAAGAGGGAGCGATGGCTGCGGTGCGCAAAGTAAGAAGGACGGAGGAGTGGTTATCGCTTATGCGTGAATCGAAGTTCTGAGGCTGCAGCGGTCGAGGGGTTCAATAGTAATCCCCCTCGACGCGTTATAAGGGCAAATGCTCTTGGGGAGACTGCAGAGCTTGGGGAAGCGTGCGTGTTGTTCACAAGAAGCATCACCTGTAAACGGACCATGTACGGTATTTGCATTACAAGGTCATCACCACTTTCAGAGTTACATTATAATGCTCAATTTCATACTGTCAATGTTAGACCTGCATTGCTCACCTTGTTGCCCCCTTGTTACATCACAATACTTTCACCAACTTACCGTATGCACCACCATCAGATGCAGGTGATCCGGGTACCACTATTATGGCGGACGTGGTGAGGGGAGCGAGGGGGCTCAAGGACCTGCATTGCTCACCTTGTGGCCCCCTTGTTACATCACATCACATTCACCAACTTACCGTATGCACCACCATCAGATGCAGGTGATCCGGGTGCCACTATTCTGGCGGACGTGGTGAGGGGAGCGAAGGGGGCTCAAGGACCTGCATTGCTCACCTTGTTGCCCCCTTGTTACATCACATCACATTCATCAACTTACCGTATGCACCACCATCAGATGCAGGTGATCCGGGTACCACTATTCTGGCGGACGTGGTGAGGGGAGCGAGGGGGCTCAAGGACCTGCATTGCTCACCTTGTTGCCCCCTTGTTACATCACAACATGAAATTTTTTGAAAGTGTAAAACACTTTCTAAAAATAAAGATTGTGAAAGCGCAGCTGACTGTAGTGAAGCAAGGCAACTGCGAATGCTTGTTCCCGAGTACATAACGAGGGTTGGAGGCCATTTGGCCTCCACCCACGTCTTCATTTCGGAACTTTTCAGTTCTGCTTCCCCCCGCCCCCCCCCTTGTTGATCTTTGTGTAATGCTTAAGTTGGACGAGAATGTTGTAATTACCCCAATTAAAATGAAGCATGTTGCCTTGCAATAACCAGAAAGCAAGCTTTCTCAATACATTCACCAACTTACCGTATGCACCACCATCAGATGCAGGTGATCCGGGTGCCACTATTCTGACGGACGTGGTGAGGGGAGCGAGGGGGCTCAAGGACCTGCATTGCTCGCCTTGTTGCTGTTAATAGAACTAGGCAAGAATGGTTGGATTGAAAGAAGCAAGGGTACAAATAGGAAACCCTAGTTTGGGTTGTACCCCATATTGGCTACCCCACTACAGCCTACCAACATATAACACATTACAATTTAACACACCCCCATAGGCAAAGTGGGGGAGAACAAAGGGTCACAAGACCAGTCCAGCAAAGCAACGCAAGCCCAGGGTGGATCACAACGTCACCATACTCCAAGTATAAGCAAAGGCCTCAAGGCCAGTTCACATGCAGTGCTAGATATAGTACAAGACAAGCAGCACAGTGATCAAAACCTAGCAAGCAAGCAACAAGATATATATAAAGTACAGTACAAAGAAAGTCAAGCAGTAAGCAAATGAGGGAATGTGGACACAAGGCCTAAAGAAGTACAGTGTCGCTGATGATCACTAGGCGGGAGCGCCTTGGTGAAGATATCAGCAGTGTTGGCCTTCGAGTCCACGTACACAAGCCGAAGCTGACCGCGCTGCTGAAGCTCTCGAGCAAGAAAGTAGCGAAGAGCAATGTGCTTCGTCCTGTGCTCCAGTCTGTGCTCCTGACACAAGGCAAGAGCCGCCTTGTTGTCACCGTACAGAACTGGAGGAGAACTAGGCCGCTCTCCCAAGTCTGTCAGCAGGTAGGTGAGCCAGCGTAACTCCTGTGTAGCCATGGCTGTGGCGTAGATCTCAGCCTCACAACTAGAGCCGAGAACAGAGGAAGAGCGGGTGGACCGCCACGAGACAGAACCAGAGCTAAGGCTGAAGGTGTAACCCTGTGACGACCGCTGCGTAGCCAGGTCGTCCACCCAAGAAGCGTCCGAGTGACCAGTGAGGACAACTCTGTTGCGTCCTCCAAGCACCAGCCCCATGCCTGACGTACTGCACAAGTAACGCAGCACCCTCTTAGCAGCCTCCCAGTGCTCTCGCCTGTGTCTCCCAGGCGCAACGTAACGAGCAAGGATGCTAAGAGGGTACGCGAGGTCAGGTCGCGTGCAAGTCATCAGGTACATGAGGCAGCCTACAAGCTCTGGGTACGGGCCACTCGGCTCTACGGACTCGTCCGAAGGTGGAGCTGAGAGCGAGTGGCTGGTAGCCAGAGGTGTGGCCTGTGGTGAGGAGAACTGGAAGCCGAAGCGCTGAAGGACCTGCTGCACCATGTGTGACTGAGTCAGGGTAATGGTGCGGCGTGCTCTGTCCCGGGTGATCTGCAAGCCAAGGTAGCTACGCAGCTCACCCAGGTCAGTGCAGGTGTGTCTCTTCTGCAGCTCCGACTTCACACGAGCGAGTGCCTCAGTGTCAGCAGTAGCAAAAACCAAGTCGTCGACGTACACGAGAATGTAGAACGGCGGCAGCGACGTGTCTGTGCGCAGGAACAGCGACGGGTCAGCAGTAGACGGCGCGAACCCAAGAGCCGCAAGTGTAGTCCTCAGTGTGTCGTGCCACTCACGTGGCGCCTGGCGGAGACCGTAGACTGGCCGCCGGAGGCTCCACTGGGTACCAGGAGGAAACGACCCAGTAAAGCCAGGTGGGCGGCGCAGCCAGATCTCCTCGTGCAGGCTGCCCTGCAAGAACGCTGTGCTGAAGTCAAGAGAGTGAAGCTCGTAGTCACGCTGAGCAGCAACGTGCAGTAGAACCCGAAGAGTGGTCATCTTCGGGGTGGGGGAGAAGGTCTGGAAGAAGTCAACCCCCTGACGCTGACTGAAGCCTCTAGCAACGTAACGAGCCTTGAAGACAGGCGGAGAACCTGGCGGCCGCTTCACCCTGAAAATCCACATGCCATCGACGATGTTCGCCCCAGGTGGGGGAACCTCGTCGACGTAGGTGCCTGTGGACTTCCAGGATGCCATCTCTGCGTCCATGGCTGTCTGCCACTGAGAGGAGTAGGGACCCGAGATCGCCTCTGCGTAAGAGCGCGGAGTGGGGATGTCTAGTGCATCCGGGTCTCCCTCAGGGGCAAGCAACCAGGCCACGAGATGAGGTACAGCAGCCGCAAGAGAGTCAAAGTCCTCCTGCCTGTCCTCAAGGACGTCCGTGCCAAGAGCACACTCACCCCCGACGGACGGAGGGCAGACAGACTCAGACCCAGCAACAAGACTGGCGGCGTAGTCTAGACGACAGGCAGCAGCAAAGTCGACAAGCTCAGCGACCAGGGCAGACGCAGCAGCAGACTCAAACGACGGGTCAGTGACAACAGTGGCGAGAAGACGCGTAACAGTAGGGTGGGCAGCACGAACACTGTCAGACTCAGGGTCGGGAACGTCAGGAAGAGAAGACGCAGGAGGAGACGGTAGGGGGACACGCTGTGGACCAGTGGAAGGACGAAGGGCCATAATATGCGTGCCAGGAACAGGAGGAGGACGCGGACGCGCGACACGACGACCAGTGGGACCAGTGCGCGCAGTGCGAGCAGCGCGAACAGGCGAGGCAGGACGAGACGCAGGCTCACGACGCTCCGTAAGCGAGTCCGGCTGTGCAGTATAAGGCACAGGAGCAGGGAGGGGGGAGCCAGGCTGAAGGGGAAGGCCAGTGGAAGACGGGAGGGAAAGAACCTGGCGAAGCACCGTGTCAGGCGGCGGCAAAGCCGACGGTGACGGAGGAGCGAAGAACAGGCGCGACGGCGGAGCTCCGCCAGCACCTCCAGCACCCGGAGCACCAGAAGCACCTGGACCAGCACCCTCCGCCGCAGCACCCCCCGAGTCGGCGACGTCAGCACCAGAGGCCCCAGCAGCGGCAGACCTCCCCTCGCCAGCACCTCCAGAACCAGCAGGAACACCGCGTCCAGAACCGTCAGCTCCAGCGTCGTCAGCTCCAGCAGCTCCAGTACCGCCAGGAAGAGCACCCCCAGACGCAGCAGCCCCAGGCTCCGTAGACTCAGCAGCAGCACCCCCAGACTCCGTACCCTCAGGCGCAGTACCCCCAGGCTCAGCACCCCCAGACTCCGTACACGCAGGCTCAGCACCCCCAGTCGTAACACCCCCAGGCTCAGCACCCCCAGCTCCAGTACCCGCAGTCCCAGCACTCCCAGGCCCAGCACCCGCAGGCTCAGCACCCCCAGGCTCAGCACTCCCAGCAGCACCACCTGCAGCAGCACCTGAGTCACCTGTGACCTCGACAGGCTCAGCGACGGGAGGAGGGTCTACCTGAGAGACACCTGAAGGAGCAGGACCCTGAGGGGGAAGGGGGTCTACCGGAGGGGGACTGGGAGCAAGGAAAAGCGGCGGGGGAGGGAGGGGCAGTGCGGTAGGGGAAGAGACGGTAAAAAGGGACCGACTCGTCAAAGGTGACATCCTGAGAGGCGAAGACTCGGCGCGAGGTGGGGTGGTAAAACTGCCAGCCCGGCGCGTCAGGGACAAAGCCAAGGAAGACACAGGGAATGGTGCGGGAGGAGAGCTTGTCCGCGGACGTATCGCGGACAAGGGCACGAGCACCCCACACCCGGAAGCGCGACGCATCGCCAACCTCCCCCGTCCAACGCAGTGTGGGCGAGGTCTCCGGCAAGGAGACACGGGGCCAGAGGTTGAGCTGATGCGCGGCGTACCGGACAGCAAACGGCCACAGAAAATGGGGAGCCGCCGCGTGGACCAAGGAGGTACGAGCGACCTCCATGACCAGGCCAATGCGGCGCTCAGCAACCCCATTCTGCTGTGGGGAGTCCGGAAGCGTGAAGGTCTGCTCGATGCCCTCCGCCTGACAGAAGGTCCTCAAGAGATCGGAGGAAAACTCACCACCTCTGTCAGAGTGCAGACGCAGGACAGGAAGATCCGTCCGGAAACGGCGGCGGAGCTGGAGACGAACTGTGCGGATCCAAGGGATCAGAACAGCAGGGACCTCACCCTTGGTGCGCAAGGGGAAGACCGTGGTGTAACGCGAGTAGTCGTCGACGACCAGCAGGAAGTACCGCTCACCGCCCTGGCCACGAACGCGGGCTGGGCCCCACACGTCCAGGTGGAGGGTCTGCAGAGGAGCCTCTGTCGGGGGGAACGAGGAGGAGTGAGGAGCGGCGCGCTGCCGCCCCTCGACGCAAGGAAGGCAAGGCGGCGCAGGCGAGGCAGGGAGGGGAGGGAGGGACCTGGGAAGACCAGACACAAGGCGGCGACGGTGCATGCCACGGAGGCGTGGCAAGGAGGGGTGACCCAGGCGGTGGTGCCAGAGAAGAGTCTGGTGCGACAGGGAACGACACTCACAGGCGTGGGCCACCAGACCTGACGCGGACACCTGACCGACAGCAGCGACCTGAGGAGACGCAGTGGTCAGTGTGTAGAGACTCGACCCCGGCCGACGGGTAAACGTAGCCAGGTGACGGCCGGTCCTGGAGCACGTGCAGATCGCCACACGCTGTCCTCCAGGGGTAAAGGTGTCAACCCACTGATCCTGGATGACAGCGTTGCTCACCAGGTTCGTCGAGAACGAGGGGAGGTGGAAACCCGACAACGAGCCAGACGGAACCGCCGGACAAGGGAGGACAGTGGTGGACTGGGCAAGGACTGGGCCCCCAGAGGGGTCAGCCAAGGAGACTGGGACCGGTGCAGGAAGCGGTGTGAGCTCAGTACTGTCACGAAAGAAACAACGGGAAGCACCTGAGTCAAGGGTGAAGGTGTGACAGGCCTCAGCCGGTGCGGTACCTGAGAGAGCAGTCTCTGTGGGTGCTGTACCTGAGAGAGCAGACTCGCAAACAGCCGGGACAGCACTGGAGGGAGCAAGTACAGGGGGCACCATACCAGAGAGAGCAGACTCACTAGTACCCAGGGCAGCGGGCTCTATACCTGGGTCAGGCGGCACACACAAGTAACAGTCTCCCTCGGCACTAACAGTCAATGCATACATGGCAGCAATAATAGCATCATAGTCAAGAGCAAAGATATCAACACCAGCCCTCATGAGCTCAGCCCAGCGGGGGCGCTCAACATCCTCGCCCATCTCCTCACGCCAAGCGTCGTCAAGGCGGGAGAAGCAGCGGTACGGGGTGTGGAACCTCCCACACGTCTGTCCCTTGCGGTCACCTGTGCGAATGACATAGGAACAGCGGCCACTGCCCCCCGACGTCCCACGCTGAGCAAGCCACTCACGAAGTTGCTGGGTCGTCTGGGGACGCTGCTGCTGCTGGGAGCTCTGGCCCGAGCCAGTGCCTCCACTCCGACCTCCGCCGCCACCACTACCACCGCTCCGACCGCCACCGCCACCACCGCCACCACCGCCACCGCCGCCACCGCCGCCGCCGCCACTACTGCCACTGCTTCCTCCGCCGCCCCCGCCTCCACCGCCGACCCCACTCCCACCAGCGCTCCCGCCACCGCTCCCTCCAGCACCGCCTCCCCCCCCACCTCCCCCACCTCCTCCCCCCCCAGCGCCACCCCCGCCACCCTTGCCCCCCTTGCCCTTGCCGGTGCGGCGCCTCCCACCAGGAGCAGAAGCAGCGCCAACAGACTCAGCACCAAGGAAGTCAACAGCAGCAGCAGTAGCGTAGGAGGGAGCGAGGGGAGAGGGAGAACACCCCTCAAAGATGGGGGTGCGAGGAGCGCCACGAGCAGCACCGACAGCTACAATGCTCTTTTCGGCCGCTAGCAGCTGCTCCTCTAGGAGGGCGACTGTGAGCTCAGTGGGACAGCGAGCAAGGAAGTGGTCTCGAACTGAGCTGAGGGTGTCAGGGAGACGGGTGACTATGAAGTGGAGTGTCCAGTACAGTGGAGGGGGGTTCTTAGCGCAGAACTCGGTGGGAAGGGCGGCACGCAGGCGAGCATCACTAGTGCGAAGGTGGGTGATAAGATCGGCGACTGTAGCAAAGGTGGACAGCTCAGGGAACAGGTACGGCAGCATGAGGCGGCTAAGCTCGGCTGTGGCAGGCGAGGAGTAGCGAGCAACGACAGCATCGTACAGGGCCTTAGCGGATTTGCAGTCGCCAAAATGCTCGAGCTCAGCTAGCGGCAGGTGACTGCGAATGGCTAGGCGAGCAGCTGCGTCACGAGTCTGCCAGTGGGAACGAACACTAAGCTCAGCTGTGGCAGGAGGGGCAGGTGCAGCACCAGACGCGTAATCATAGAGCGACACATGCTCCTTGCTATCGCTCAGAAGGAACAGCTGCAGGTCATCCAGCCAAGTGGCGAACTTCACAGGGCGGCCCTCAGCATCGAACGACAGCACGCGGATGGAAGCCATAGCGACAGTGCGACTGAGCAAAGGAAGCTGCCGCAGCGCTGCAGGTAGGTAGCTCGGCGGGAAGCGCGGCGGGCGGGCGACGCGGCGAGCGGGCAGTGCGGGGGGCGGGCTACGAAGCGGGCAGCGCGGTGGGCAGGCGGCGCTGCAGGCGGGAAGTGCGGCGGGCGGGCTGCGAAGCGGGCAGCGGGCGGGCGGGCGACGCTGCAAGCGGGCAGCGGGCGGGCGGGCGACGCTGCGATCGGGCAGTGCGGCGGGCGGGCTGCGAAGCGGGCAGCGGGCGGGCGGGCGACGCTGCAAGCGGGCAGCGAGGCGGGCGGGCGGGCGACGCTGCGAGCGGGCAGCGCAGCGGGCGGGCTGCGAAGCGGGCAGCGGGCGGGCGGGCGACGCTGCAAGCGGGCAGCGAGGCGGGCGGGCGACGCTGCAAGCGGGCAGCGGGCGGGCGGGCGACGCTGCAAGCGGGCAGCGGGCGGGCGGGCGACGCTGCGAGCGGGCGGCTCGGCGGGCGGGCGACGCTGCTAACGAGAGGCGCACGAGGGCGCTAACGAGAGGCGCACGAGGGCGCTAACAAGGGCGCGCGAGGGCGCTAGCGAGGGCGCGCGAGGGCGCTAACGAGAGGCGCACGAGGGCGCTAACGAGGGCGCACGAGGGCGCTAACGAGGGCGCGCGAGGGCACTAACGAGGGCGCACGAGGGCGCTAACGAGGGCGCACGAGGGCGCTACGAGGCTAGGGCACGGGGTAGCGTGGTAACCGCATGCGAGCGGTGGTGGGCCCTTAAAAAAAAACGGTCGGTAGGTCCTAGGGACCTCCTGCTCTGAATACCATGTTAATAGAACCAGTTGCCCCCTTGTTACATCACATCACATTCACCAACTTACCGTATGCACCACCATCAGATGCAGGTGATCCGGGTACCACTATTCTGGCGGACGTGGTGAGGGGAGCGAGGGGGCTCAAGGACCTGCATTGCTCACCTTGTTGCCCTCTTGTTACATCACATCACATTCACCAACTTACCATATGCACCACCATCATGTCTTATCTCGTACACGGGCAAAAATGCTTGAGTTATCTTGTAAACGGGATGCTTTAGGGTGTCTTATAAATCTTATAAATGGAAACTTTTTAAACTACTTAGAAATATTTTCCGTACTTCTTGAAAAAGAGTTCCTCATAATGAGTGTGGATGTTGCGAAGGTGCCACTTCGGCATGTCAAACTATATGTACTGCATATTGTCTAGGCTGTAGTGGGGTAGCCCATATGGGGTACAACCCAATTAGGGTTTACTACTTGTACTCCTGCATCCTGTTAGTTCATTCATTCCTGCTGCTAGATTCTAACATGGTTTCAGAGCACTAAGGTCCGTAGGACCGTTTTTTTTTTCGGGCCCACCTACCGCTGCGGTTACCGCGCTACCCCACGTACCTGCCTGCCTTGCCTTGCCTTGTGACGTGCTGCACTACGCGCGCCGTCCAGCAGCCCTAGCGCTGCCTCCTGCTGCCCTAGGCCAGCGCGCTGCTTCTAGAGGCCCGTAAGGCCCGCGCGCCGCCCCTACACGCCGTTCAGGCCCGCGAACAGCCCCTGCAGACCGTTAGGCCCCTTGCTGCCGCGCGCTGCCCGCACCGAGCCCGCGCAGCCCGCACCGAGTCGCGCGCAGCCCGCTGCAGCCGCGCGCAGCCCACACCGAGCCCGCGCAGCCCGCTGCAGCCGCGCGCAGCCCGCACCGAGCCGCGCGCAGCCCGCTGCAGCCGCGCGCAGCCCGCACCGAGCCGCGCGCAGCCCGCTGCTGCCGCGCGCAGCCCGCGCCGAGCCCACGCAGCCCGCGCGCGGCCCGCAGCAGCCCGCGCCGAGCCGCGCGCGGCCTGCTACTGCCTCGCGCGGCCCGCAGCAGCCCGCGCCGAGCCGCGCGCGGCCCGCTACTGCCTAGCGCGGCCGCGCGCGGCCTGCAGCAGCCCAGCGCGCTGTCAGCGCAGCCCGCGCCGAGCCGCGCGCGGCCCTCTGCCTCGGCCCCGACCTGCCGCTGATGCGGCCCCGCCCTGCAGCTGCCACGGCCCCGACCTGCCGCTGATGCGGCCCCGCCCTACAGCTGCCGCGACCCCGACCTGCCGCTGACGCGGCCCCACCCTGCGACTGCCGCTGAAGCGGCCCCGCCCTGCAGCTGCCGCGGCCCTACTCTGCAGCCGTTGTTGCGGCCCCGACGTCGCCACTGTCGTGCGCCTACTCGGCCGCCGCCCGTCGAGCGCCGACCCTGCTCGCCCGGCGAGCGCCTGCTCTTCCAGCCTTTGGTGAGCACCTGCCTGCCTGCCTGCAGGCCTGCCTGTCTGCCTGCCTGCCTGCCTGCCTGCCTGCCTGCCGGCCTGCCTGTCTGCCTGCCTGCCTGCCTGCCTGCCTACCTGCCTGCCTGCCTGCCGGCCTGCCTGCCTGCCTGCTTGCCTGCCTGCCTGTCTGCCTGCCGGCCTGTCTGCCTGCCTGCCTGCCGGCCTGTCTGCCTGCCTGCCTGCCGGCTTGTCTGCCTGCCTGCCTGCCTGCCTGCCTGTCGGCCTGCCTGCCTGCCTGCTTGCCTGCCTGCCTGTCGCGCCTGCCCTGCCCGCGCTACTGCTACTACTCCTGCTATTAGCAGGTGGCCAGATGCAGCTCCAGCGTCGTTCCTGCGTGTCTCTCACGCCCCAGCAGCTTGATGAGTGGTATAGGGTTTGGGGCTGTCGAGGTGGCCGTCGTAGCAGTCGCCCTGGAGCTGGTCAGTTGGGGGCGTCTGGCAGTGGCCAGCTGCAGCTGCAGGGGCGTCCTCGCGAGACACTTACGCCCCGGCAGCTCCAGGAGTGGTACACTCAGTGTAGCAGGTCTACGCGTACCGTTCGCTGCCCGTACGTCATTCGCACAGGTGTTAGGACTGGTCAGCCTTGCGGGACGCTTGGTCACACACAGTCCCGCTGCTTCGCCCGTCTGAGCGACGCCTGGCGTACCGTGTTTGGAGACGAGGCTGAGCTCCCTGCCTGGCCGGAGCTGCTTGGACAGAGGGTAGATATCTTTGCACTTGACTATGATGCTATTCTCACTGCCATGTATGCATTGCCTACTAGTGTCGACCGTGCCTGTTACCTGTGCGTCCCGCCTGACCCTGGTATAGCGCCTGCTGCTCTCGGTACTGGTGAGGCTGCTGCTCTAGGTGCTCGTGCGTCTCCTGCTCTAGGTGCTGGTGAGACTGCTGCTCTAGGTGCTGGTGAGTTTGCTCTTTCTGGTACTGCGCCTGCTGCGGTCTTGCACACCTTCACCCTTGACTCAGGAGCTTCTCGCTCTTTCTTTCGCGACTGCACCACACTCACGCCGCTCAGTCGGCCAGTTCCGGTCTCCCTGGCGGACCCCTCTGGGGGTCCAGTCCTTGCCCACTACTCCACGGTTCTGCCGTGTCCGGCCGTCCCGTCTGGCTTCCTGTCAGGTCTTTACCTCCCCTCGTTCTCTACGAACTTGGTGAGTGGAGCTGCCCTCCAGGATCACGGGGTTGACCAGTTCACTCCTGCGAGTCAGCGAGTGACTCACTGCACGTGTGCTAGGACGGGCCGGCACTTGGCCACGTTCACCCGTGCACCTGGCTCGAGTCTGTACACACTGACCACTGAGTCCCCTCAGGTAGCTGCGTCTGCGTCTACGTCTGGTCAGCTGGCGGCCCCCTGCGAGTGTCGCGCTTTGTCGCACGACACTCTCCTGTGGCACCACCGCCTTGGTCACCCCTCCTTGCCTCGCCTGCGTAGCATGCACTCTCGCTCCCTGGTCTCTGGTCTTCCCAGGTCTCTGCCTGCCCTCCCTCCCTCGCCTGCGCCGCCCTGCATTCCTTGCGTCGAGGGGCGGCAGCGCGCCGCTCCTCACTCCTCCTCGTTTCCTCCCATAGAGGCTCCCCTGCAGACGCTCCACCTGGACGTGTGGGGCCCAGCCCGCGTCCAGGGACAGGGCCGCGAGCGGTACTTCCTGCTGGTCGTCGACGACTACACGCGTTACACCACGGTCTTCCCCTTGCAGAGGAAAGGGGACGTCCCTGATGTTTTGATCCCTTGGATCCGCGCTGTTCGTCTCCAGCTCCGCGAGCGATTCCGGCGGGATTTTCCTGTCCTGCGTCTGCACTCTGACAGAGGTGGTGAGTTCTCCTCTGACCTCTTGGCAGCCTACTGTGCGGAGCACGGCATCACCCAGTCGTTCACGCTTCCGGCCTCTCCACAGCAGAATGGGGTTGCTGAGCGCCGCATTGGCTTAGTCATGGAGGTCGCTCGTACCTCCATGATCCATGCGGCTGCCCCCCATTTCCTGTGGCCGTTTGCGGTCCGGTACGCCGCGCATCAGCTCAACCTCTGACCCCGTGTCTCCTTGCCGGAGACCTCGCCCACACTGCTATGGACGGGGAAGGTTGGCGATGCGTCGCGTTTCCGGGTCTGGGGTGCTCGTGCATTTGTCCGCGATACCACTGCGGACAAGCTCTCCGCCCGCGCTGTTCCCTGTGTCTTCCTTGGCTTTGTCCCTGACGCGCCTGGTTGGCAGTTTTACCACCCCACCTCGCGCCATGTCTTTGCGTCTCAGGACGTCACGTTCGACGAGTCGGTTCCCTTTTACCGTCTCTTCCCCTACCGCACTGCCCCGCTCCCCCCTCCGCCGCTCTTCCTCGCTCCAGGTGC